TCAGTGTATTATTATCAGCTTTCATTCATGCAGGACTTGTTGCGGGTTTGCTAGCGGTTCTGCGTTCTAGTTTCTTCACAATTATTCCTTCTACTCTTCTTTTCACTCGTAGATTCGCGCATCTTTCAGGAAAAGAAGAAGCCAAAAAAAAAAAGGGAAAAAGAAAAGAAAAGGTAAGAATACATTCTAATTTATGTAATTTCTATATTTATGCCCTTCTATTCGCGCGCACGTGTTCCTTACTCATATTATCACTGTTATTTGTCTTTATTTATATATTTATTTTAAATTAACAGATCTTTTTCTAATCTTAGCATATAAATAAAACTTGAGTTTTCTTATTTTTTGGGCATTTTAGGCCTTGCTTAGCACAATATAATTTACTAAACTTTTTAGAAAGTTAAGGAGTTAACTTTTTCTAGAAATTTCATAATTAATTGCTTATTTTATTTTTCAAATTCGCACAAGGTTTAACTATTTTTAATAAATATATTATTATTCTTATACTAGAAACAAATATATCCTTTTGATTCAATTTTATAATTCTTATGGGCAAGTTTGGGAATATACCCATTTATGGAATTTTTTGCCAACAATACGTTTATGGAAGTGGAAATTGCTTGTATCTTATTTATTTATTGAAAGCAAGAGGTTGGTGGTCTCGTGGCTTAAACAAATAGTTGGGGGGGGGGGTTTTAAATTTCAGCTCTTATATATATGTGGTAACTTAGTCAGTGGAGACCCTCAATGCGCGGGAGACTATAGATGATACTCCTCTGGTCCTTAATATAAAACATAATTATTAGGTTAATTTTAGTCCTAAATATAAGACCTATTTCTTATATTTATCAAATTTTCCTAAAATACTTCTATGGATACTCCCAACCATAATCAAGTAAAAGAGGAAGAGAGTATATTAAAAAAGATAATTATGGTGTTTTAGAAAAAACATGCCATATTTCTTACCACTAACTAACTTATCTAACTTACTTAATCTAATCAAATTAGTTAAATAGTTCTTATATTAAGGACCGGATGAGTATTTACGATCGTGTAGTTTCCTCCATGAGCTCATTGAAAGATAATTGTATATGATTGAAATAAAATAATAATTATGATTGTCTTAAAATTTCAAAGAATAAAATACTCTAATCTCACTTTCATTTTCCCCTTAAAATGTTTAATTTGTTAAAAAAATTCTAAAAAGATATTTTTAATCAAAATTTATGTTGACATTTTCTCTCATTTTCTTGTTGTGTAAAAACAAGAAAAAGAAAAAAAATAAGTTTCATCTCTTTGAAAAAAGTCATTCTATCAGCTCGCCTTCCATTGCTCGAACTTTTGCATTTTGCTTCTTCCTCACAACTTTGTTGCTCTTTTTTCTCTGGGTTCCTCTCATTTCAATTTTACAAGAAAAATACAAAAACAGAAAAGAAGAGCCTCCGACAAAGAACGTTGAAGCCTCTTCAAAAAAAAAAGGTAAAAACTTCTAATTCTTAATGTTGTTATTTGCATTTCCTTACATGTTTAGTCTTTCATATGCTTTATCTGCCATAATGTTTAGATCAAAACTTTTGTTTAGTTATTTTTCCAGTTCATATAACTATTTATTAGATTCTAAAGCATTCGTAATGAATATCTCTAAAAAATATAATTTTATTTTTTAAATATGATTTTTTTGTAAATAAGAAGGACTTCTTTTTGCTCAGATTTTTGTCTGTTTTTCTTCTTTTCCTCCGTCATTCAATTCACAATAAATTAAAAAAATTGAAATTGCTAAAATACTTTTGATTATGTTTGTAATATTAACATTTCCATCATTCTTTCATTAAATTTGATCTTTCGTTGCTCACTCTCCTTATGTCATTAATAAATATTATTGATGGTTTTAATAGTTTAAAACTATAAATTTCACCCCATAAATTTTCATTTGCGCAGGACTTGTTTCGCTTTTGCTGTTCGTGCATTCTAGTGTGCTTTTATTTTCATTTATAGCTTCCTGCTTCTTTCAGGAAAAGAAAAGGCCAAAAAAAGAAGGTAATAATACATTTAAATGAGGAAAAATTACTGAAAAATACTTGTTTTTCGGCAATTTTTCTTCAAATTATGTTTGTAGTGCTATATTTATTCCCCCTCTCCCCCCTCCTTATAAAATCGTGAGGACTTGCTAATCATTGAAAATCCGTCCTTGTCTGTTTTTTTTTTTTTGGTTTTGAATGTTCTGGATTAAACTTCTTCTTTGGATCATTTGGGCTTAGTTCAGATTGACCGAATATGGCTCATTGGTTTTTTTCCTATATAATCATTTTACTTATATTAAATAAAATTATCTTTTTATTTAAAAAAAAAAGAGAATTACAATAGAGTCTCATGAAAAGAAAAATAACTACCAAAAATTTTTAATAACAAGTAAGAAGTCTTTTTTTTTCCTGAAACTTAAGAGATTATAGTTTAAAGTAGATTTTCTGAGATGCCCTAAATTATTAAAAATGAATAATTATTTTATTTTATTTGGATCATATCCATTAAAAAATTGTTTGTGTTCATGTAATTTTATTTATATTATTTCAACATGAATTATTTAAGAAGGTTAGTATAAAAAGTTAAAATTAAATATCATATTGTATTTTAGAATTTATCATGCCATTCATCCCGAATATTAATTTAATACTATCTCCTGTCCTAAATATATTTAGGACTAGGAGATAGTAGTAGTAAATAATTTAAAAAAAAAACAGTTTCTGGGGGCTACGGTAAAAGAATCTCAATTGTTAATTTATTATGGCACTCTCAATTATTCTTGTCTTGCTTTAAATTTTTTTGCTTCTTTTCTGCTTCTGCGTCTCAGTTTTCTGTGATCGCGTTGCTCTTATTTTTGTTCCCTGTCTCCATAAAACAAAAGCAGATTTTCTGTTAAACATCGTTGAAGTGGCTAGAGAAAGAAGGCAAGACCAAAAAAAAAAAGTATGAACACATTCTGATTATAACTATACTATTAAAATCGTTGTCTATTTCTACACACACACACACACACACATTTTACTCTTTTTACGTTCGCTCTGATTATTTCTGCTATATATAATGGAGTTGTAGAAATTAACAAGAATTTTTTTTTATTTCAAATCCACAGTCCCGGGCTTGTTTGATCTGTTGCTGTTTGGCTGTTTGTGTGCTCTACATTTCTCTGAATTCTGTCTTTGAAAAGAAAAAAAGAAAAAAGAAAAAAGATAAGGTAAGAATAATAAAATCAGATTTTGTTTATCCAGAGCACTAGTTTTTTCCATTTGTCTTCTTTCTGTAAATTAAATAAAACAAAATGAACTAAATCAGTGAAGTAAATTAAATCAAAATGAATTAAGTTAGTGATTAAACAAACTTACCTAAAAGTCAGGATCTTCCTATAATCTCACAAACTGGCTACTAGTCCCTTGATCAAGGAAAGCTTTTTTTCTTAACTTGGATTAATTCTTATTTTTCTTGTCTCCTCGAATGTATAGCCTGCTCAGCATTAACTTGAAGATCTTTCCAGTTCCATCAATTATGTACTTGTTGTAACAAATGTTTCTTCATCTCAGGAATGGACGGGACATCATAGATGACCTGGCAAGTATAAAATGCTTTTAATTAAGTTAAAAGTAACGATGTAGCTGAGATAATAGAAACAAAGATAGAAAGACATATATTCCTTCGGTCTTTAATATAGGAGCTAATTTATAAGACCTATTTCACATATTTATTATTTTTTTTTCAAATTAACTCTATTAATATTCCTCCATAATAATCAAGTAGGAGAGAGATGGAGCGAATTGAGGAAGATGTCTTGGGTGTTTTAGAAGAAACATCATATTAACTAATTTAACTATCAACCTTAATCTACTTAAATTAGTTAATTAGGTCTTATATTAAGAATTGGAAGAGTACTAAAATACCGTCCAAGATCCTATCCTTTGTACTTTGTACTAATTTTTCTCCTATCCTCATCAACCTCCACATGTAGTCTCTATGCAGTACCATGACATAAAGCCAACGCTTTTGATTGGTAGGATTCATATTCTTTTTGTTCTGAATTGAGAATTTAATCAGGAGCAACATTGAGTAGTTGATTTAATCACATCTTTCATCACAATCATTTGCAAGAATAATAAGCATAAGGATAAGATATAAACATGTTAGAAATGTCTTATAAATAGGATTAAAGAAGTAATTGTTGAGGCGTCTTACTCGTGGGATGACACATATAAGAGGACTTTGAAGCGGACTTCATTTTTTAAAAAAATAAAAGGAAAAAAATAGTTTCATCTCTTTGTAAAAAGTCATTCTCAGTTCGCCTTCCATTGATCAAACTTTTGCATTCTGCTTCTTCTTCTTCACAACTTTAGTGCTCTTTTTTTCCTCTAAGTTCCTCTCATTTCAATTTCATAACCAAAATACAGAAGCTGAAAAGGAGAGTCTCCGGCGAAGAACGTTGAAGTGTCTTTAAAAAAAAAAAGAGTAAAAAATTTACAATTCTGACTGTGTTTCTGTCCCTCTTTCATGAATATTGTTATTCTTATTTGCATTTCCTTCCATGTTTTGTCTTTCATATGCTTTATCTGTTATAATATTTAGATCAAAACTTCTATTTAATTATTTTTTTCAGTTCAGACTATTATTTATTAGATTTTAAACCATTCACATTGAATATCTTAAAAGAGGTATAATTTTACTGTTTTTTAAAAAAATTGATACTTCTTTTTGCTCTGATTTTTGTTTGTTCTTCTTCTTTTTCCTCCATTATTCGGTTCACAATAAATTAAAAAAAAAACGAAATTGCTAAAATACTTTTGATTCTGTTTGTGATATTAACATTTCCATATTCTTCCATTAAATTTAATCTTTTGTTGCTCCCTCTCCTTATGGTACTCATTAAATATTATTGATAATTTTAATAGGTTAAAACTATAAATTTCATCCTAAAAATGTTCATTTACACAGGACTTGTTTCGGGCTTGCTGTTCCTACGTTCTAGTGTAATTTTGTTGCTTCCATTCATAGCTTCTTCCATCTTTCAGAAAAAGAAAAGGAAAAAAAAAGAAAGGTAATGATACATTTAAATTAGGAAAAACCGCTGCAAAATACTTGCTTAAAAATTTTGTTGCCCTAAAGTACCTATACAGAAAAGCATCAGCACTCTGAAAAGTTTATGCACACATATATAATAACTAAATGCAACTGAATGCTATCGAATCAAAACAACCTTAAAACAAAAGATCTCAATCATCATCCACCTTCTCTCTTGAAAAAAGAAGGAGGTTGATCAAAGATGCAAAAAGTATCCACCATATTGTGGGAAATCTTAGCAAAATGATCAGCTAAGGTCAGATCTCTAAACACATGCATGGTTGATCTAGATCTGCCACTCCCTCAGAATCAAAATCCTAATGTCATTGTTAACAATATCCCTCTAAGGATGGTTGGTATCACAACCTCTTGCAGCTAGACTAAGGACATCCAGAAAATCTGATATATGCCCATAATACTAGTACTCTAAATTAGGCACATCTGAGAAATATACTTTTTAAACTGGCATTTTTCAGCAATTTTCCGTTCAATAGTGCTATATTTATTTTCTTCCTCCTCTCCCTTGCGTGTTCTCCTTACTTTTTTTTTTTTTAAAGATGATAAAGACAATATATTAAATTAAAGGAAAAGCAATTAGCCAATTACATAATAAGATTCACCAACATATTCCTCTAGTCCTATTTATAAGTCACTTCCAATATATATTTTACACAAACTAAAAAAAATCTTAAATTTGATTAACTTTTATTTAAAATTGAATAACTTTTCAACTTTATTCCCATTTAATATACATTATATCTCACATAAACAAAGTCAACACAATAATAAATGAAAAATAAAATTGTACATATATATGAAAAATTTCTCTTAATAATACCTTATAAATAGGATTAAAAAATATTTTCTTTCTGCTCTATAAATAGGACCGGAAGAGTACACAGTAACTTTTTTATGGGAAAAAAAATCCTAAAAAAACCTAAATCATGATCAATGCAGTGATAGCGCGATATGGATGGGTTCTTTATTTTGTATTGAGAAGGAAATATCTAAATGCATTGAAACAAAATTTAAAAAGTCAAAAAGAACAACACAGAACGAGAAAGATGAAATTATTGAGCTATCTAATTCTACACGTGGGAAGACTTCGAAGCTGACTTCCTTTTTTTGTTAAAAAAAAAAATCATTTGATGTCTTTAAATCTCATCCTCACACTCATTTGTAACCCTATCTATTCTATCAGTTTGCCTTCCATTGCTCACATTTCTGCTTCATCACAACTTCTGTACTCCAACGAAGTCTCTTCAGGAAAGAAATCGGTAAAATAATCTAATTCTTATTATGTTTCTTTCCTTCTTGTGTGAATATTGTTATTCTTATTTGCTTTTCCTTCTCTGTTTAGTCTTTTATATGCTTTATCTGTTATAATATTTAGATCAGAATTTTTATAAATCACGTATAGTTATTTTTCAAGCAGTTCAGTTAATTATTTATTAGGTTTCATTCATGCAGGACTTGTTGCGGGTTTGCTAGCTGTTTCTGCGTTCTAGTTTCTTCACAATTATTACTTCTACTCTTCTTTTCATTCGTAGCTTCGTGCATCTTTCAGGAAAAGAAGAAGCAAAAAAAAAAAAAAAAAAAAAGGTAAGACTACATTCTAATTATGTCATGAAGTTCTATATTTTTGCCCTTCTTTTCTCGCGCGCGCGTGTTCCTTACTCTCATTTGCAATTGAGAAATGAAACCAATGACTTATATATTTACTATTTATTGATATTATCACTATTATTTGTCTTTGTTTATATATTTATTTTAAATTGACAGATCTTTTTTAATCTTAGCATATAAATAAAACTTGCATTTTCTTTATTCTTTGAGCATTTTGGCCTTGCTTAGTTCAATATAATTTACTAAAATTTTTAAATTTTTCTAGAAATTTCATAATTAATTGCTTATTTTATTTTTCAAATTCGCACAAAGTTTAACTATTTTTAAATAAATATGTTATTATTTTTATACTAGAAACAAATATATCCTTTTGATTCAGTTTTATAATTCTTATGGGCAAGTTTGGGAATACACATATTTATGGAATTTTTTTCGCCAACTCTATATTTATGGAAGTGGAAATTGCTTCTATCTTATTTATTTACTGAAAACAAGAGGTTGGGGGTCTCGTGGCACAAACAAATAGTTGGGGGGTCTAAATTTCGGCTTATATATATATGTGGTGGCTTAGTAGAGGGCATTTTTTTACCATCAATGCGCAGGAGACCAGAGATGATATTTTGAAATAAAATGATAATTATGATTTTCTTAAAATTTCACAGAATAAAATACTCTAATCTCACTTTTATTTTCCCGTTAAAATGTTAAATTTGTTAAAATATTCTAAAAAGATGTTTTCAATTAAAATTTGTGTTGACATTTTTTATCATTTTCATGTTGTGTAAAAACTCTACATGAGAAAAACTTGATGTCTACAATTACAAAATTGAAAAATCAATCAAGGAGGTAACGATGAGTTAGATTTTATATTGAAAAATCAATCGTGATGTCATCTTAATTGAATAGAAAAACAAGCATGAAGCTTCACATCAGGTCGTTTCCATAGCCGTTATTGCAGCTGTCATTGAGAGAAAATGTTGATGTGTTTAAGACAAAACAGAAGGGGTTTCCATTTAGAAGAATATTTTGTTGAAGAGTTTGACTAAATTAACTTCTTAATTAATAATAATAGTTTTGCATGATCAAAGGCCAAAAGATCTTATTTTCCATTTTTTTAAAATTCCTATTGCAATTTGTATGCCATTCAGTATTCTCTTTATTGCTATTAATATGATCTAAAAAAAATTGGTAAATCTACATTATGATTTTTGTGTAGTTTTAATCATAATATTTTATCCTATTGATATTTATATTATAATTCAGATATTTTCAATTACAAATAATTGAAAGTTTCCGAAAAGAGTCTTGCGAAATGCAAATTCTCTACCCATTATTAAAAAACACCAATAACTAAAAAAATGCGTGTTCCTTGTGATCATGTGAATGAATTAATTGGTGATCACTTTAATTTCATACTTATTATACATTTTGTATTAATATGATTTCTCTGGTAACTAAAGCTTCCACATATTTTTTATTGACAGGATTTGCATTCTTGTGTTTTGGTTTGAGAATCTCTGTTATTTTCTCTTGGTTCAACACTGAAATCTGGAAGAAAAAAAAAAGAAAAGAAAAAGGTAAGGATATATTCTAATTTGATTGAGTTCTATTATTTTTATATTATTGTGTTCATGTTTTTATTATTATTTTCCTTGCACACACATATACACAAATATGGCATTTTCTATGGATTCTTCTTTTATTTTCCAGTTCATCAATTGCTTTGTTCTGCCCAGATAAGAAAGAAAACAAAAGTGTTAGGATATGTTATCATTATGATTTTATTCGTATGTTAATATGTCTAGTACAAATATATATACAAAATGATTATTAATCCAATTCAATAAAGTGCAAAAAAAAAACTTTTTGTTTGAATATTTTGCTTCGAACATTTCAGTAAATGTCTGGTCAAAGAAACAAACATTTTAGTAAATGTATTTTGATAAAAAAAGAATATTAATACAAATAATCCATTACAGTAGATACGCAGCGACACATTTGCCACGTCATGACATCGTTAGACGGGCGATTCTGATTGTCTGGTTTGCGGGGACTGAAGACGTATTATAAAAATTTATTAAAGGTGAAAATATATATTTGGTCTTTTAATTTTGTATAATGGTCCCTTCAGTTTAAAAAATATATTTTTAGTTTTTTAATCCTAAATTTTTTTAAAAAAATAATAATATTAAGATTTTAAATGTTGATAAAACATTCTTAAATGCTAGTATATGAAGTTTAATTTTCAAAAAATTCATAATTGTTACAAAAAATATCATTGAAATCTAATGATTTTAGGGTTAAAGGATCAAATGTATGCTTTTTAAAGTTAAGGGATCAAATTAAAACCTTTAACAAAGTTAAAGGACCAAATATATATTTTAGCTATTATAAGTAGTTATTACTAAATAAACAACATGCATTTATAATCAATACGATAAAAATCACACTTTTTCTAAAATTTTATGTTTTAGATTTTTTAAACATAAATTTAAATTTTATATATTTATGATTTTTAAATTACAGTTTCAATGACGACAGAGCTCACCGCTAAAAGATCACCCATGTTTGTCCATGAGAGCTTTTGATGGAATCTTGTTGCCGCCAAAACTTTTTTCTTTTTTTGGTGCCACGATTATTAGATTGCCGCTTCCTATAACATGTTGCTGAGCTATTTAGGAACTCAGAACAATAAAAAATAAAAGGACATATAGCATTTTACTTAAATTGTGTTATTCCAACAACAACAAAGCGACAAAAATATATAAACGTTAAAATAAAATTTTGGGATAATTAATTCCCAGATCTTATAGCTTCATTTGATTTTTAGTTAGGTCCCTATAAATTTTTTCTTTTTATCATGTCTTGTTAATTTCACATGTTTTTAATTAGGTCCTTCTATTTTTCTTCTTTTTATCAAGTCTTTTATTTTCACTTATCTTTTAATTAGGTCTTTTGTAGTTTTAAAAAATTTATTTGTAAAATTTATTCTTGAAAATTAATTTTGGACAAAATGATTAATAGAATGATTTGTTAATTAATAATTAATTAGAATAATCAATTGTAATTAAATATAAATCATTTATACAAAATAATTAATATAATCATTTAGTAATTAATAATTACTTAGAGTAATCAATTATAATAAAATATGAATTATTATAATTATATTCTAATTTTAGAATAGTTTATGTGATCCAAAATAAATATGTGAGACACCCGGTTAAACTACCTTCAGGATGGTTTACTTCCTTCTTCTACGTGTTTATTTAATGGCCACCTTCCTAATGCTTAAAGAAGTCACTAATTATCACTTTAAATGTTACATATAAGGCTGCACATAGACATGGTTAGACAGGCCAAGCCCCTGCTTGATGCCCAGCTCAAAATGCAGCTCGCTGCCCAGTAAAAACCCTAACTATTTTGGACTAAATAAGGGTGGGTTGGGTTAGGCAAGACGGGCTTTTCTGCCCAATTTAATAACATCTTGCTTATATCATATTTAGAAAAAAAATTCAATTATCATGTTTTGAGACAAGTGAGAGGAAAGAAATTTATCATGAATGATTCAATCACTCATATATATATATATATATATATATATATATATAAGGCTTATGTAGTGTTGTTGTTCAGTTTTCGATTTAAATTAGGAAAAATTGCTGAAAAATACTTGTTTGAAAATTTTATCGCCCAAAACTTGAAAGAAGTACTTGATACCTAAGAAAGTGCCAGTGCCTTGAAAAGTTTGTAGGCGCAATATCAATACTCTGGTTTAGATACCTATCAGCAAAAAACTTTTCAAAAAATGCATTTGTCAGCAATTTTTCCTTCAAGTTATGTTCGTAGTGCCATATTTATTTCCCTTCTCCCCCTCCTTATAAAATCATGAGGACTTGTTAATAATAGAAAATCATTGCTTTGTCTGTTCTTTTCTGGCTTTAAATGTTCTGGATTAACCTTTTTCTTTGATTGATTTGGGCTTAATTATCGAAATAACTCGTCGGTCTTTTTATATAATATTTTATTTATATTAAATAAAATTAGCTTTTTATTTAAGGAAAAGGAGAACTGCGATAGAGTGCTGATAAAGAGAATAACTATCAAAAAGTCAGTTGTTATTAAGACTAATAATTATGATTTTTTTTGACTTAATTGTAATATTTTTTTAAAAAAAACCAAGCTAGGTGGGGGCCATTCATATGAATAACAAATATTTTAAATATTCTCCGTGCATCACATGAGCACCCTGTCATCATTCAAAGCACTTTAACTTTTGTAGTACTGCGCGTCGCACGGAGGCTCTGTCATCATTCAAAACACTTTACCTTTTGTAGTACCGCGCCTTTAAAATTATTGAACCAAGTGAGGGTCTTTTTTCGTTTTTTGGGCGTTGAAGTGGGGGCTCTTTGCTGACTTTGAATCTCAACGTCATCATATTTATTTTATTTTATTTGGATCATCTCCATAAAAAAATTATTTCTGCTCGTGTAATTTTATTTATATTATTTCAACATGAATTATTTAAGAAGGCTAGCATAAAAAGTTAAAATTAGATATCATATTGTATTTTAGAATTTATCATGCCATTCATCCGGAATATTAAAAAGAAAAATTATAAATAAAGACTCTCAATATATAAAATTACAATTTGGGATTCTTAATTTAAAAAATAACAAATAAAGATTTGGTCTTATATTATAAATATGAAATTTTGAAACAATGTCTGAAATGTTTTTCAATCAAATTGTGATTTGGTTTACTAAAGTTGTTATTTGTTAAAGTGAATTTTTTATTTTTTATAGTCAATTTGTCATTTAGCATATTCTTAGCCAAGTTATAATTCGGTTTATTGAAGTTGTCATACGTTAAAGTGAATTTGTTATTTCTCATAATCAACTTGTTATTTAGTTGAGAGACAATTCACCAAAATCTCATATTTACAATATAAGACCGGGTTTTTATTTACTATTTTTTACATTAAGGGTCTCAAATCATAATTTTATATATTGGGAGGTTTTTATTTACTATTTTCTCATATTAAAATGTATAATAGATTTAATACTATCTCCTGCCCTGAATATATTTAGGACTGGGAGATAGTCGGTAAAATATGACTCTTTAATAATAATAAAAAAATACAGTTTCTAGGGGCCACAGTAAAAGAATCTCAATTATTAATTTATTATGGCACTCTCAATTATTCTTGTCTCGCTTAAAACTTCTGCATCTGCTTCTCAGTTTTCTGTGCCGCTCTCATCTCTGTTCTCTATCTCTATAAAACAAAAGCAGATTTCTCTGTCAAACATCATTGAAGTGGCCGCAGAAAGAAGCCAAGACAAAAAAAAAAAAAAAAAGAAAGTATGAACACATTCTGATTATAACTATACTATTAAAATCGTTATATATTTCTACATATTTTGTTTACTCTTTTCTGTTCGCTCTAGTTATTTCTGCTGCATATAATGGAGCTGTAGAAATTAACAATTTTTTTTAAATTTCAAATTCACAATCACAAGGCTTGTTTGATCTGTTGCTGCTTGGCTGTTTGTGTGCTCTACATTTCTCTCAATTCTGTCTCCAAAAAAGAAAAAGAAAAAAGACAAGGTAAGAATAATATAATCAGATTTTGTTTATCCAGAGTACTAGTTTCTCTATTTGTCTTCTTTTTGTAAATTAAATAAAACAAAAACAAAATGAACTAAATCAGTGAAGTAAATTAAGTCAAAATGAATTAAGTTAGTGATTAAACAAACTTACCTAAAGTTCAGGATCTTCCTTAATCTCAAACTATCTACAAGTCTCTTGATCAGGGGAAGCGTTTTTTCTTAACTTGGATTAATTCTTACTTTTCTTGTCTCCTCGAATGTATAGCCTGCTCAACAAAAATACAGAAAAACATTGAAGTGTCTTTTAAAAAAAAAAAACAAGTAAAAAATTTATAACTCTTACTGTATTTCTTTCTCTTTTGTGTGAATATTGGTATTTTTATTTGCATTTCCTTCCGTGTTTAGTCTTTCATATGTTTCATCTGTTATAATATTTAGATCAAAACTTCTATTTAGTTATTTTTCCAGTTCAGATTATTATTTATTAGATTTTAAACCATTTAGAGTAGGTACTACTATAATTTTACTTTTTTCAAAAAAAATTGATACTCCTTTTCGCTCTGATTTTTATTTGTTCTTCTTTTTCATTCGTTATTCGATTCATAATAAATTTTTAAAAAAAACGAAATTGCTAAAATACTTTTGATTATGTTTGTGATATTAACATTTCCGTAATTCTCCATTAAATTTAATCTTTTGTTGCTCCCTCTCCTTATGGTACTCATTAAATATTATTGATAATTTTAATGGTTTAAAACTATAAATTTCATCCTGAAAATGTTCATTTACGCAGGACTTGTTTCGGGTTTGCTGTTCGTGCATTCTAGTGTACCTTTTTTGGCTCCCATTCATAGCTTCATCCATCTTTCAGGAAAAGAAAAGGCTAAAAAGAAAGGTAATAATACATTTAAATTAGGAAAAACTGCTGAAAAATACTTGTTTAAAAATTTTATTGCCCTAAAGTACCTATACAGAAAAGCATCGGTGCCTCCGAAAAGTTTATTCACACGTATTAATTGAATGTAACTGAATGCTATCGAATCAAAACAACCTTAAAACAAAAGATCTCAATCATCATCCACCTTCTCTCTTGAAAAAAGGAGGTCAATCAAAGATGCAAAAAGTATCCAACATATTGTGGGAAATCTTAGCAAAATGATCAGCTAAGGCCAGATCTCTAAACATATGCATGGTTGATCTGGATCTGCCACTCCCTAAGAATCAAAGTCCTAATGTCATTGTTAACAATATCACTTAAGAAAATAGTTTCATTTCTTTGAAAATATTCATTCTATCAGTTTGCCTTCCATTGCTCAAACTTTTGCATTCTGCTTTTCAATTCATAACCAAAATACAGAAGCCAAAAAGGAGTGTCTCCAGCGAAGAAGGATGGAGTGTCTTTAAAAAAAAAAAAAACAGGTAAAAAATTTATAATCCTTACTGTGTTTCTTTCCCTCTTGTATGAATATTGGTAGTCTTATTGGCATTTCCTTCCATGTTTAGTCTCTCAGTTGCTTCATCTGTGATAATATTTAGATCAAAAATTCTACTTAGTTATTTTTCCAGTTCAGATCATTATTGATTAGATTTAAAACCATTCACATTGAGTATCTTAAAATAGGTATAATTTTACTTTTAAAAAAAAAAATTGATACTTCTTTTCGCTCTAATTTTTGTTTGTCCTTCTTCTTTTTCCTCCATTATTCGGTTCACAATAAATCTTGAAAAAAGCGAAATTACTAAAATACTTTTGATTGTGTTTGTGATATTAACATTTCCATCATTCCTTCATTATTTTTTTTTTTTGGGTCAGAAAGTACGTCGTATTAAAAAAGTAAACCAGTACACCTCAAAGTTCCCAGAAAAACAAAACGCAAAAATAGAGAAAACAAAGAACATAAACTGGAAAACAACTCTTCCAACACCAAAACAACAACTAAAGAGAAAAAGCAAAACAGCAATTTCTGACGCCAAAGTAGCTCTGGAACTTTTCCGTGACAGTAGAGAAGATAAGCATGGCAGCAGAGAAAATGAGCACTAGGTAAATATCCATCAAGAGGGGCCAAGAACAAAGCAAAAGAAAAACTGGGATTGGGGGGCATAAAACCCAACCATAAAGGCCACAAACCCATTAACCAACTCCTTAGCTTAATCAAAGAAGCTAAGTTACGATACTGGCAACAATTTCCAGAAGAGATATTCGCTCAAGAAAGAAGCTCCACCAATCACAGCTTAGCTGAGCATAACAAAAAAAGAAGAACTAGGAGCTTTTTGTCCTCTTGATTTCCAGTCGACCAGTAACCCATCATCAAAGCCACAGGAAACACATCCCCTACTCTCATTTCAGAACCATCAGCCCTAACAATTACCCTCACTTGTTTCTTAGAATCAAACAAATAATAAAGACATCCAGGTGGCACCCAACGTGCATCATCCTTAATTTTTAGTATATCTCTTCTGAATGCCACAAAAAAGCTTAACTTGCCACTAAATTTCCAAAACTGCACAACTTCAACAAAGCTAACTGCAGGAAACATAGTTGAGCCCAAAAAAACACCACCTCTATCAATGGCAATCCTATCTTGAGAGAAGAAAAAGCTAAAGCCCCATTTAACCTTTAAGAACACTGCGGTAAGCACTAGACGAACTAAAGCCAGAGATTCAAACCAGTGAAAATTGTATCTAACCAGATCCTTCGTTACAAATTCGCACATATATCTCATATTCCAGGTACTCCATGAAGCAAAAATCAAAACAAACGGCATAGCACCTATTCCATGTCCATCAATCAGACCATTTAGCACCATGAAGACTACAATAGGGCTAACAGAAAAAAGAGAACCAAAGCATTTTACCTTGTAAATCCAAGACAAAGGATTCTATTCGACCATGTTTACAGCAAGGCACTGCAAAGTTGGTTTTACTCTGAGATTCTTCAATCCGTCTCTCATAGATCTGAATAGATATATTCGAAGAGTTAACCGAGATCCAAAGCTTTCGACAGTTTCACTTCCCAAGCCTCCACCTCTCATCAGCTCTTTTCGATTTTCAGCCTCCTCGAAGGTGCCGAATAACGACATTCTATTATAAGGAAACACCAAATCTGCCAGCAACTCATAGATCACTCCATTCCCCAACCTCTTTCGGCCATGGTAGATTTCTGCATCTTCCATCTTCGATTCTGTCTGTATCTGTCCAAATCTCGCCATCGGTCATCCACACGATGCTTTCTGAGTCTCTAATTAGGTCCATCCACTGATCTTCCTCCTTCACTTCCATAAGCATCGCAGCTTCAGATCTGACCTTCCTCTTAATATCCATCTCCCAAAACCACAGCAAAAACTCTAACGCATGCACACGCCAACTCACACACACTAGACTCACTCTCCCCCTGCGGCTGCCGGGGAGAGGACGCCGAGAAACAATGCTCACCAGGGAGTGGTTTTGGCTCTGACAGGGGAGAGAATTTCGCTCTCACGGGAGGAGAGAATCCATCATTCTTTCATTAAATTTGATCTTTCGTTGCTCACTCTCCTTATGTCATTAATAAATATTATTGATAGTTTTAATAGTTTAAAACTATAAATTTCACCCCATAAATTTTCATTTGCGCAAGACCTGTTTTGCTCTTGCTGTTCGTACATTCTAGTGTGCTTTTATTTTCATTCATAGCTTCATGCATCTTTCAGGAGAAAAAAAGGTAATAATAGATTCAAATTAGGAAAGAATCAACATGTGCGTGTGTGTGTAAGATGTGCGTTTGTGTGCGCGCGCGCATTCAATTTACCTATTTTTAATGTTTCAAGTATCCCAAGTGTTCTCCACTTTTATTAGCCAAATAGTACAAGAATACATTGCTCTGTGTGATTCTTTTTCATATTAAATATACAAGAAAAATGAAGCATTACAATCACATATAAAGAAAGCAAAAATTATCTGAATTAACAATGGAAACAAACGGCACGGATGAAAAACTGAATTGATTATATTCAATTATCTTTACAAAATCTAGCGTGAGAAATGTTAAAAGCTCATTCTGGCAAAAGAAATGTTAACAGCTCATAATTATTCTTAATATCCACAAATTCTTAATTTTTAAATTAAATTTGTGAGGATGCCAAAGGTTGTATAGCATTTTTTTATATCTCATACTTGTTAGGTAATTTTTTTTTATCAACTTTTCTTTTTCTACTACTAATTTTTATGCGTTTACGTTTGGCAGATTTTGTGTTTCACTCCTGCTAAGAATCTTTTCATTTTTCTTTTTATCACCTTAGTTTGCACCAAATTTTAAAAAAAGAAAGAAAAAGAAAAAGAAAAGTGAAAAGGAGGTCTCTTTGTCCAACAACATTGAAATCTCACCAAAAAAAGGTAAGAATATATTGTATCATGTTTCATTTCATGTTAATGCTTATATTGTCTTTTGCTATATGACTGGTCTAGGCTATCAATTACGGCATGGTTTACAATTTTAATCTATACAATCATTTTGAGAATTTTATATTTATAAGATTACTTTTATTTTGCAATTTGCATCGTGTAGGATAAGACTTAATTTGATGGTTGAAATTTGATGCCTGGAGAAAGAAATTTGTGCTTTAAATTTTGTCCAAACCAGCATTAAACATTTTCATCATAAAAAATTGTAAATACTAAATTGTGTGTGTTTCTGATTGACAGATTTGTGTAATAGTCTTCTTATTGTTCTCTTCATTGGTTATTCTTCATCGATTTTTTTAAGGTAATATATCTTTATCTTGTTTCTTTTCATGTAATGTTGATATATTTGTTAGACTTTTAGGTTATAACTTTTACTAATGACCATAAAATACTTTTTGTTATTTTCGTACAACAACATTCGTGTAATTTTATCAAAACTAAAAATGAATAATATTGGGAAACAAAGGAGAAGTGTGTAGCATAAAACTTGTGATCCGAAAAATAAAATATATAGAGGAATTTTCTATTACCAATGTATATAATTATCATTTTAAATAAAAAATATAGTTTCTCATTTTTAATGGCATTACGATATTCTTTATTCTTTTGTAATCTCAATATAGGACTTCAATGCTTGGAGACCTATAAATAGAGGCCATACATAAAATATTTGTACCATGAAACAAAGTGAATGACAAAAAAATCATTATCTTCTTTATCTCTTACTTTTCTTTACGCTCTCTAGTTTTCTTTTTTCTTCTCATTTTATAACATAGCTTGAATTTAAATATTATTTTGGTACTTGTGGGACCCACATCAATAATTCACCTTGTTGGCCCAAAAAAAAAAAGAAGGGGATAAATCCCTCATTGAAAATTTATTTGGTAAATGGGACTTAGGATTATTCATTATATAAGGAAAGATTAGTTGCATACAAAGGAAGGTAAGTTGCACAAAGAAAAAATAGTTTGCACAGAATATTATTAGATATAAGAAATTCGTTTGTATATAAAGAAGATAACTTGCATATAAAAAAAATTTTATTTGCACAAAGAAAATTGTGTTGCATATTGCACAAAAGAAGATCATTGCACATAAGGAAAAATAAATTACACACAAAAAAAAGTTAAGTCATATATAATAGAAGTTAAGTTACACAAAATTCTTAAGTCTCATTTGTCAATTAAATTTTCAACGAGAGTTTTATCTCTAATTTTTCCCAAAAAAAAGCCCTCTTCTTCATATTAGGATGTGAGTATGTGACATGACCTTTATCTTCTAAACTGAGCCCAAGCGTGGCCCTGAAAGATTTTCGTGTTTTGTGTATTAAATTTACCATTGAAACCTTACTTTATTGGAATTTAAGCGCTAAATATTCTGGGACATTTTATAAAATGTTTTGTCCTCCATACTCGATTTAATTCTTTGCCTCATAAAATAATTTCTATAAAATTGTTGGGCCAAATCAATATTTTGATTATTTTCTAACTATTTTTTCTTGAATTATTCGAGAAAATAGAACATTAATTCTCATATAAATTAGTTTTAAAATTATGTAAGCTATTTTTGGAAAACAGACCTCTTCATAATATATCCAAATCCTCAAATAATGTTAATGTTGCCCCAATTTTCAAGACTCTGAATAATTTTATAAACTATTTCTTCTTTATTTTTTAAAAATTTCATCCGAAAATAGGTTTTTTGGCCAATAATTAATTTTGTAGGCAATTTAATTTTGAATAATATGTCTAAGCCTTAAATATGTCTTAGACAAGCTCTTTTATCCTTTCCAGATTTTATTGTATAGAATGAATAATATATATATTTTGTTTTATATATATTTTGCTAACGTATTACATACATACATACATACATACATACATATATAAGGCCGTTTTCTTTGCACTGCATAGCTAGATCTTATTCTATATATTACATGTTCAATCATAAAATTTAGCTCAGACAATCATCACAATCAATCACACAAACAACTGACCAACACAATATTAATATCCAAGTCAATAACTTTGCTACCTTTCCTTTGGTATGACCTTTTTATTTGAAAATTTGATAAATATACATTATGATTTTTTTTTGCATAGTTTTAATTATAAGATATGCGTATTTCCTTTTGATCCCAAATGATATTATGTGAAGGAATTAATTTTTAATCACTTTCATCTCAGACTTGTTATATATTTTCTATCAATAATATTTCTCATATAATGAATTCTTTTGCATATTTTTGGTTGGCAGGATTTGAGTTCTTGTATTAATCCTGGGGACTAAAATTTCTCAAAAAGAAAAGGCAAGGATATAATCTAATTTGCTAGTGTTTCTCTTTGTTATTTTTATATCATCTTTATGTTTCTATTGTTATTTTCCTTACGCTTGAGAGAGAGAGAGAGATATATATATATATATCAATTCTATTTCTAAAATTAATCATATTTTTAGCATTTTGGTGATGACTTCTATTACGAAGTATGAAGTGTGTCATATATCCAACACACCAAAAGAACAAAAGTAATGTGATATTCTAAAACTTGTTAGCGTGTTGGTGAGGGGCTCTTGTCCTAGTCTTACTTGGACTTTTTTCTTTCGCCCTGCATTACTTCTCTTCTTGCCGAAATATGGGAAAGGGCAACCTTTGGGGCCTGTTTGGATTGAAGACAGGGTGGGGGAGGGTGGAAGAGGTTTTAACTGATGGAATATGAAAAAATAATTATAATTTTATTATATTTTTAGGATATTTGATTTATTTGGATTTATTATCATTTTAGGATTTATTTATATTTATTAGTGGTTTAGTATTTTTATTATTAGGATTAGTTGTTGTTGTTGTTGTTATTATTATTATTATTATTGCTGCTTTAGTATAATTAGATTTAAGGTTTTCATTCTATGGCAGGCTTGATTATTAAATGATGTTGCAGTTATCGTTTTCTCTCGGCTTGTTTCCTCTTCTCTATTCTCTATTTTCCCTTCTTTGCTCTTTCTAATCTCTTCCTTTTCTCTTCCCTCTTCTCGTTTTATATCATCAACCTTACCTTGTTTGGTTTGATTAAATAGGAGGAGAGGAGGAATATTTAATGATCCTTTGTTTAATTCAAGAGAGGGAGGGGATGGATAATAATAATTAATTTATCATTTTACCCTCACATATTAATTTTTATTTTTATTTATATATTACATAAATTAATTTATCTTAATTCAAATTATGTAATTTAATAAAAATGCAATATTGTTGTATTAATATCTGTATTAAACAAGTGGTACAGTAAATTTTTATTCTAATTAGCATAATAATATATTTCAAATAATCAAATTAGCAAATTTACTTTGTTTTTTAAAAAATGAAATTTTTGTTCTCCTTTGGCTATGCTTTTTCTTCATGCTTTAAAACATATTTTAGTTAAGAAAATAATATTTTTGTAAAAACTAATTAATTTATAATAAGATAATTTTTCACTGTAATAATTTTTTTATTTTAAATTAATTTTGATTATAATATATTTTTAATTATAATAATATATATTTATTTAGAGTAATGTAATTTTATTTGAAATTATAATAATATATTTTTTATGTGTATTTATAAAATATAATAAAAGTAAAAGAGTAAAATGGTTTAAGAATTTAGTTTCCCTCCAAAAAATCCCAATTTGGAGGGGAACTAAAATAGGAGAAAGTGAGGGAGGAGAGGGGGAATTTTTGCTCCCCTCCCCTCTAACATTTCTAACCAAATGAGGGGAGGCGCTCATTTTTCCTCTTCTCCCTCACCCTCCTCTCCAACCAAACAGGCCCTTAGAGATAGCTCCCTCCAACCAAACAAGCCTTTAAAGATGGCTAGGATTGGGGCTACTTTTATTAGGTGTGCATTCTCATTAGTGTCGAAATTGATTCGCTATGCTACATGTATGAGGTATCTCACGCACAATTCGGGTGTTGTTGGAATTGTCTCTCCCAGAGGTAGCAAAAAAAACTCAATCAAAGCAATTAGTAAGAGGCAGGGACCAATCTACAAAAGCAAATGAGAAGTGAAGAGAGACTAGAGCTAAAACCTGGAGTAACAACAGAGTGATCTAAAGTGAATGAGCAATGAAAACAATGTATATTATTTTCCCAGAATTCTTTTGGCTTATCCACAAAGGCACCATTGGCTAGTTTCATAAGTAGATCAGAGGTGTATAACCATAGAGGATTATTTCCCAAATTTCAAATTTCGTCCCTTGATGAATACTTCCATCTTTTTTCTTATCTTCCTGAAGTTGAAGCCTTAGAAGATTGGTGGAGAAAGATCAAAGGATGATTTATTCATGCCATTTTGAAGAAGTTTCTCAGATGATGGTTATGAAAGGGTTTTGCTAGGTATGATACACAATAATTAAGTCAAAAATATTGGTGGTTACTAATAGGATTGGCATGATTTAGGTACAACACGAGATGTCAAAGATTGGGGGGCCGTTTGCCTGTTCTAATGAAAACTTTTGTCTCTCATTTCTTCTATATCACATGGTTCCCCAGTCTCACTGTCCATTAACCCATTCCTTCAAATAGCAAATTTTAATGTAGTCTAGGTGGCCTCCGATTTGAAACCACTATCCAAATCCAGCTTCAAAATGCATTAGTTGAGTCATAATAATGTATGACTTATAGTGAATTTCTTTCAGGGTTCAAATTCATGTATTTTACTTTCTAAGATGATTACACTAAGTACCAAATTAGTATACATTTTGCTCCTCTTTTAGTTAGTCCCCTTCATTTTTTATCTTATTATAATCATTATGTGGGTATTTCATAACTTAAATCAAGATAGAAAGATAGAATAACATTAACTTTATTTCCCTGTTAGATGGAGAGCATCCCTGCTGAACTTGTAAAGAACGAAACCCAGAGTTTAGTGAACTTGGTGAAAAATGAAGCTCAATATATATGTTGCTTCAATAGTTATGTTCAAGAGTATGAGCAGGCAAAGGGAAGATTGAAAGCAAAACTCGAAGATGTAAGCAGAAAAATTAATCAAGCTAGAGGTGTTTCTCTTGTCACATCTGTAGCACTACAATGGACACATGAAGCTGAAGAACTCATTAATGTTGACACTAAGAAAGAGAAATGCTTTAATGATTTGTGTCTTAACTGCTGGCCTCAATATCGGAAAGGTAGAGACTTGGCGAAGAGGACTCTGGATATTGACAGACTTCTAAAGAGATGTAACTTTGATATAGTGGCAGGTCCAACTGATCTTCCAGGTATAAAATACCATTGCTTACCAAATTTCACGCATTTTGAGAGCAGAAAGTCAATATTTAAAGAACTTCAAAAGGCACTAGAAGATGAAGAAAATAATATGATTGGACTCGAAGGCTTAGGGGGAACAGGCAAAACTTCAATGGCAACAGAAGTAGGTGCTGAATTGGAAGGATCCACATTCGGCAAAGTCATCTTTCTTGTTGTCTCTAAGCTTCCAGATTTCAAACATCTTCAAGGTGAAATTGCTGGACGTTTGGATTTGAAATCAGAGGATGGAGAGTACCACGAAAAAATATTGACCAAACTCAAAGCGTTAAAAGAGAAACTTCTTATAGTACTAGATGATGTGTGGATGGAGTTTGATCTCAGGAAAGAGTTGGGGATTCCTCCTCCCCACTTGCATAAGGGTTGCACTATATTGATAACCACCCGAAGCAAAGAGATTTGTAAAAAAATGGATTGTCAAAGGATCATTCATCTTCAAGCATTGACTGATAAGGAAGCATTGCAACTTTTCCTCGAGCATGCTAATAGCTCCTCTACTTTGGAGAATCTGGCGCAAAAAATTGTGAAGCATTGCCATGGAGTACCAGTTGTAATTATAGCTGTAGCAAGATCACTAAAAGATCGACCTTTTAAAGTTTGGACGGAAGCCTTGAGGAACTTGCAAAGTGGTGAGTCAATATTCAATGTTCGTGATGAAGATTTGAAGAAGGTCTATGAAGGTTTAAAGTTAAGCTATGATAATTTGAGAAATGAAAAATCCAAAAAGCTCCTATTGATATCTTCTCTATTCCCCGAAGATTTTAATATCCCCATGGAGTTTTTAATTAGAATTGGTGTAGGAATGGGCCCTTTTGGTAAGGAAGTTGATGACTACAACAAAAGAAGAAGAAAATCACTTGATGCTGTAGTGGAACTCCTAGGTTCTTCTTTATTGTTGAATGCTGAGAGGGAATGTGTAAAGATGCATGATTTAGTTCATGAAGTAGCCTTATTGATAGGACAAGAAGACATTCAATCCATCATTAAATCTGAACTATCTGTAAAAAAAGGGTTGCAATGTTTATATTGGAAAAATGATGATTTTTTGAGACCTTTTGATAGTCAAAACCTTGAGGTATTATTTCTAGTTCGAGAAGATCGAAAGGATTTGGAAGTCCCTGATGCATTCTTTATAGAGATGACAAAGCTCAAAGTTTTGTTTTTACAAAATAAAGCTTGGCCTCAAATTTCAGCTCCATCACTGTTTCCATTAATTCAGTTATTACAAGATATCCGAACTCTCAAGATAAAGAATTTTAATTTAGATAGCAACATCTCTATGTTGGGAGGGTTATCAAATCTTGAGACACTTTGGTTGGATGATTGTTCAATCATTAAACCTGAAAAAAAATTTAAGCTACAGAAGTTGAGATTCTTAAGGATAGAAAATTGTTACAGTAATATGAATAATCCTTTTGAATTGATTGAAGCATGCCCAAAGCTAGAGGAGCTGGCTTTTTTGAGTAATGATTATGTCAAGCAGGAAGAAGATACAATTTCTCAAAAAATATCTCTTCCTTCCTTACAAATATATCAAATATCTTCTAAGGGCAACTTTTTGGATTATTTTAAGCAATGTGGTTCCCTGTCAAGATGCTTTCAGCCAGGTAGTTTAACGCATTTAATCTCTGAGGCAACATTTAGGCAACTTGCAAGAACAGCTGAGCTTCTTAGCTTAAGTGGGTATGGAAAACAGAAAAATCTTATCCCTGACATTGTTCCAATAGATGACACAGGTATGACTGACTTGATCATTCTTCAATTGGATTCTTGGCCTGACATGCAATGTCTCATTGATGCTGTGAACAATTGCTTTGACGTGAAGAATGCCTTTTCCAATTTAGTTGGACTATATCTTTCTAAAATAGGACTAAGCAATATATTATTTAATGGCCACTATAACCTGTGTCATTTGAAGACCTTGAAACTGAAGGAGTGTCCAAAGCTGACGTCAATTTTCCTCCCATCCACTGCTCAAAGCCTTTTGCAGTTGGAAGAGTTGAACATTAAGAGATGTGATGCATTGGAATGCATTGTAGAAGATCAGAGTTCAAGAGGGGAAATAGCTGGTGGTGATGGTGACAATGATCAAAAGAGCTACGGCACTCTGTTTCCAAAGTTTAAAATTCTTGAAATTGATAGTTGTGACAATTTAGAAATAATATTGCCAATCCTTCACGGTGGATGGCATCTGGAAAGGATAATCATACAGCAGTGCAAGAAGTTGAAATATATATTTGATAAGTTCCAAGAGGTCAATGTTATGCTCCCCTTTGTGGAAAGAATGCAACTTGTTAGTCTGTCAAGTCTGGTTGGTGTTTTCAGGCAGTATGAAAAATCCACCTCTTCGTCACCACAACAACTAGCACCCACACCTCCAAGCACCAAGATACGTTCTTTTTCATGGGGTCAAGTATGTTGTTTTAAATCAAAGGCGACAAGTAAAGAGGCTAATGTTGCTATTTCTATAGGGAGATTGCTTGACAAAGGAATCTCACAGGTATGATCAGCTCGCTTCCCTACTTTTGTTCAAATTTATTTTACATTCAAGTCTCTCTCTTGTGAATTATATGTTGTTAATTATTTCAAAAAGAAAAATGATTTACAATTAAATAAAATAAGGTATGAGTATTAAAAATATTTATTGTGATCCTTGGTACGATACATTATTTAAAGTACCTGTTTTTGCATGATTGACTGAATCTGTAACAAGATTTTGTAAATATGTCTTGTTATAACAATTGTTCCTTGGTAAAAATACACATACATAAACACATTCATGCGCATGCACACATGCCTTTTATCGCAAGAAATATAGTTAACAATGCTTAACACATAAAAAATTTATGATATATCTATGTTGAATTTCTTGAAATTATAATCGGATAATGATAGTTTCCTAGATTTCAACCAAATTACACATAATCTACTACAACAAAAATCTTCATTACCTCTAAGTTATTTTCTTAGTTTAGATATCTATGAGCATTACGATTGCGTAAACAACAATGTCTTTTTGAAGGGATTACTTGCATCTAGGAAATGGATTGATAATGCTCCTACACTTGGGAGGCAACTAGCACTCCATGTTGTTGGTCATATCAGGAAGATGGAACTTGCATATCTCTCTTCAAATTCACTATCAACTTTGTTCACTTTATCCATGGCATCAGTGATATCATGGGAAGAGATGACAATCAAGGATTATGATGGGCTAAAGCACTTGGTAACGAGCGAGGAGGATGATTATAAAGATCAAATCAACTGTAGTTCCATTTTCCCAAAGTTACAGAAACTTTATATCTCACGGTGTAGGGACTTGGAAATTTTATTTCTGTCTGCAATATCTATAGAAATTAAGAATTTAAAGTCCTTGACTATTGAAGGTGCTCCTCAGCTGACATATGTCATTGAGAAATACCAGCATCAGCATCGTTTATCTGATCAAAATCAGAATGACGAGTGGCACTTTGATCTCCCTGCTTTGGAGGTCCTCTGTTTAGAGAAAGTACCTAAGTTCATCGACATTGGTCCCATGAATTATAAAATAGTGTCACCATCTCTACCACACGTTTGTTCAGACAAAGCACAACTGAATTTGAATACCACAAAGGTAATGCTCTCTCTCCCCCCCCCCTTTCTGTGGTTATAGAAAAGGGCAAGGCCCCGAGTAATGCTCTCCTTTTGTCTTGATATTGTTTGTTCTCTATTGATATCCTTACTCAAAAGTGAAATATAAAAAAAATGAGGTTTGAAAACACTTCATAAAATTTTTTGCGTGTGATTGATACTTAGTTTGCAAAATTTCTTGAAATTATAGTTGGATAAAGAGAGTGTAAAAATACAGTCAGATGAAAATTGACTACATGATGTGCTAGTTTTCTAGATTTCATGCGTGTCTACAAATATCACTTGAAAATTTAACTGTGTGCGTATGTAGATCTTAGGTGTCAAAAAGAAATATATCACGGATACAGTGAAACACTTCATAAATTTTTTTTGTTAATGACCATGAATTTTAAAAGTTTCAAAAAAGGATTAAGATTATTGGTTAGAATTAGATGTTTTATATTGATTCTTTTCTATATTCTTCATTGTTTAAGTACATAAATTTAACCACTTCAATTCTTGTTTTTAATATTTTCAATATTCATATTTCCAGTTTTTTAATACCTAAATTTCTTTTCTTTTTTTTCCCCAATTACTCAACTTCGATGTTTTCAACATTTAGTTTCTTTTGTATTGAAAGCATTAAAAAGAGTAGTAAATAGATAAAAGTATTGAAAACACTGAAAATAGCAGCATTAAAAAAATTAATGTCGAGTGGTGAGAAAATCATCTCAACAAAACTTTTGATTTCAACCAAGGAGTTTGGTCAATATTTGACGTTTTTAAAATTCACAGTCCTTTATATAATTAATATTTATAGGAGATTCTTTGGTTAAAAAATGTTTATAGAAGATGCTTAAATGTCATTTTTTACAAACAAACATTAATTATTTTGATACAAAAAATACAATTATTTATGGATTTTCTAATATGCTAATCCTTTTACATTAATTGCTTGTTTATTAATATTAACCAAATGTGGCGTTATAACTCAAAAGGGGCGACGAGGACAAACATTTAAGAATGAGCATATTACACAGCAACTTATATTAATTTATAAATACGTTGATCATATTGTCATTGTGAATTGAAACATATATTAATTTGACACAATCATTTATGAATATTCTAATATAGTAAGCTTTTAGATCAGTTGATAGTCGAGCCATTATAAATTAGAATATTAGAATGGAGCACAATAATTCAAAGGGTTGGACTCAAGAAAGACGATGAATATATGACAAAAAGAGATATAATAAATTTATTTTAGCGATTGATGTTTTGCTTAAAACATTTTGATTTATTATGTATTAACGTATATTTAAATTTTATATGTTGTTTATTTTGGAATAAGACTGATTTATTTTCTTGGCGATAAATATAGCTTTCTAAAGATTTGTGTTTATAGGAATTAGATCCATCCGCATGTGGAGTTTTTCCTTCCCACGCAGCTCAAAGCCTTTTGGTGCAATCATTGAAGAATGTAAGGAAAATAGAACTCACAGAATGTGAGAACTTAATATCACTGTCAAATCTATCTGTTACGGCCTCAACAATTTCATTGAAAAATTTGAGAATACGGAAATGTCATAAACTGAAGTGCATCACAACACACGAGGGAGATGCTCAAGTTGATAATAAGAATTATTGTTCCATTTTTCCAACACTAGAGAATCTGGAAATTTGGAATTGCGAGGAGTTGGAATTTGTATTTCAATCATCAATATCTGGTGGTCTTCAAAAATTGAAGTCTTTGACAATTAGGAAAGTTCCTGAACTAAAATATATTGTTGGGAAGTACCAGCAAGATCAGCAAAATGAAGAGCTGCATTTCAACCTCCCTTTGGAGACCCTCTTCATTGAAGATGCACCAAAGATCAAAAGCATTTGCGCTAAGAATTATAAGATGGATTTGGCATCTTTTCAGAATGTTCTGATGTGGAATTGCGGCATTAAATCTTTCGATGATTCTGACATGGTGAATCTAACAACTACAGAGGTACACTCTCTTTAACTTTTGTACATATGATTTGTTCTGTTTTGATAATGTTAATTACAAATGAAGTATTATTCGATCAAAATGAAATTATTTATGACTGTCTTTATATGTTGAGCTTTTTTGGCCCGCTCAATTCAGCTTTTACATTAATTGTTTATTAACAAATATTGAGTTAATTGTTGCCTAACAAGGGTGATATTAATATATGGTTACCAATAAAGACTTCGAATAAAAAAGGTTATGAATTGATTGTGCAACTTAAAACGTAAAATTATGTCATTTAATTTAGCTCCATATATATTTAGGAAATGAAATTTTTATTACTCAAAGTTTCAACTAGTTTGATGTTTTAAGTAGCATTAATTTGGTCTTAATAATTTCAAAATGTCAGATGAAATATATCTCGAGCTTTGAGTGTCTTATTGACATCAACGTAACATAATTTCACTTCATGTGCTGTGTTCTGTTATTAACTACTACTACTTACGTATGATGATAATTTAATTATTTATTTAATGAAACTGTATGGACCACCTTAATATTAAATAAAACATATGGGTCGAATTGCAAATCTTTTACAGATTCCAAGCTTTATCTATATATGTCGGACGCAATAAGACAAACACAGGCAATAATCATTTTAAATTGAAAAGATTTTTTTCCCCATTATAAGCATTTTATGTAATTTTTATTAACAAGTTATCAAATGGAATGGGGTGTAAGGCAGCTCATAAAGAGTTGAATTAAGTTTGTTTTCCTTGATATTATTTGTCGTATATGATATGACTACATAAAAAATTTACATACTCAAATCTTCGCTGATTGTTTTTTTCCAAGAAATCTTCGCTGATTTTTTTTCCAATAAATCTTCGCTGATTGTTTGTTTTGGAATAAGAATAATTTATTTTACTAATTGTTGTTGTTAAAAATATCTTTGATTTTTTTGAGCAAAAAAAATATCATTGATTTATTATGTATTATTATATATTCCAATGTTGCATATTGTTTATTTTAAAATAAGAGTGATTTATTCTGTTGGTGATGGATATAACTTTTTAAAGATTTGTGTTTGTAGGAATTAAATTCATCTACAGGTAGAGTTCTTCCTTTCCATGCATCTTAAATCTTATTATGTGTTAATGTATACTTAAATTTTATATATTGTTTGTTTTGGAATAAGAATGATTTATTTTCTTGATTTATTATGCATTGATTTGCGTTTGTAGGAATTAGATGCATCCCCAGAAGGAGTTCCTCCTTTCCTTGCAGCTCATAGCCTTTTGGTGCAATCATTGAAGAATTTAAGGGAAATAAAACTAAAGGAATGTGGGAACTTAATATCACTGTCAACTCTCTCCATTGCGGCCTCAACAATTTCGTTGGAAAGTTTGAGAATCTGGGCATGTCATAAACTGAAGTGCATCACAACACAAGCTGACAATAAGCATTATTGTTCCATTTTCCCAACACTAGAGAAACTGGAAATCAAGGATTGCAAGGATTTGGAATTTGTATTTCAATCATCAATATCTGGTGGTCTTCAAAAATTGAAGTCTTTGAGTATCATGAAAGTTCCTGAACTAAAATATGTTGTTGGGAACTACCAGCAAGATCAGCAAAATGAAGAGCTGCATTTCGAGCTCCCTGCTCTGGAGACCCTCTCCATCAGAGGTGCGCCGAAGATCAAAAGCATTTGCGCCAAGAATTATAACATTGATCTGTCATCTCTTCAGAATGTTGTGATGTGGAATTGCGGCATTAAATCTTTCGATGATTCTGACATGGTGAATCTGACAACTACAGAGGTACACTCTCTTTAACTTTTGTACATATGATTTGTTCTGTTTTGATAATGTTAATTACAAATGAAGTATTATTCGATCAAAATGAAATTATTTATGACTGTCTTTATATGTTGAGCTTTTTTGGCCCGCTCAATTCAGCTTTTACATTAATTGTTTATTAACAAATATTGAATTAATTGTTGCCTAACAAGGGTGATGTTAATATATGGTTACTAATAAAGACTTCGAATAAAAAAAGGTTATGAATGGATTATGCAAATTAACACATAAAATTACGTCATTTAGCTCCATATATATATTTGGGAAAATGAAACTTTTATTACTCAAAGTTTCAGTCCGTTTGGTGTTTTAATTAGCATTAATTTGGTCTTCATGATTTCAAAATGTCAGATAAAATATATATCAAGCTTTGAATTCCTTATTGACATCAATACAGTTTCAGTTAATGTGATGTGTTCTTTTTTAACCACTGTATACTTAGGTATATGGATAATTTAATTATTTATTTAATGAAATTGTATGGACCAAGTTAATATTAAATAAAACATTTGCGTCAAATTGCAAATCTTTTACAGATTCCGATCTTTATCCATATGTCGGACAGAATAACACACACAAAGGCGATAATCATTTGAAATAGAACAGATTCTTTTTTCCATTATAAACATTTTATGTAATTTTTCATTACCAAATTATCAAATGGAATGGGGCGTAAGGGAGGTCATAAAGAGTTGAATTAGGTTTTTATTTGCTCTGATATTATTTGGTGCATATGATATGACTACATAAAAAATGTACACGCTCAAATTTTCCTGATTGTTTTTTTCAATGAATCTTCACTGATTGTTTGTTTTGGAATAAGAATGATTTATTTTACTAACTGTTTTTATGTTAGCAATATCTTTGATTTATTATGTATTATTATATATTCCAATCTTGCATATTGTTTATTTTAAAATAAGAGTCATTTATTCAGTTGGTGATAGATATAACTTTTTAAAGATTTGTGTTTGTAGGAATTAAATTCATCTACAGGCAGAGTTCCTCCTTTCCATGCATCTCAAATCTTGTTGGCGCAATCATTGAAGAATGCTAGAAAAGTAGACCTATGGGCATGTTGCAACTTAATATCTTTGTCAACTCTATCCCTTGCCTCTACAATTTTGTTGGAAGATTTGACAATAACGTACTGTCAGAAACTGAAGTGCGTTGTAGAAGATGAGGCAGATGCTGGAACTCACATGAACTACAATTATTCCATCTTTCCAAAGTTGAAACGGTTACAAGTTTTATGCTGCAACGCATTGGAATATTTATTCCCAGCACATGCTTTCAGATGCCCTGCATGTTTGGTGAGAAGCCTACCAATGTCGCAGAAGCTCAGTATATCAAAATGGGAAGAATTAGTTAACATTGTTGAAGAAGATTATGAAAAAAATGATGATCATCATCATTTGTGCCGTGAACCATGCTTTCCCAACTTAGAACAAGTCTCTGTCAATGATTGTGACAAACTGAGGCACCTGTTCTCTATCCCTATTTCTGGTATCCTGCCAAAACTAAGATCTCTGGGGATACGTGGAGCCAATGGACTTGAGCATGTACTGGTAAGACAAGGAGAGATGAAAGAGATGGCCATGAATGATGTGCTTCCACAACTAGGTCAATTGGTGCTCATGGATCTTCCTAACCTTGCTAGTCTCTGCTATGGGATTGATTTTCAAACTTTGAAAGGAGACGATAATACGAGAGTAGATCGTTGTCCCAAGTTTTCCTTTTATGGTATGCATTCAGAGAAGTATTTATTCTCTATAAAATTGAAAATTATCATATGAGTTTTATTATAACATTAAAAATCCTACTTTCAGAAATTTCAACTACCCAGCTTCAAGCATGTCCTGAAACAACATGTTCTCAAGCTGAAGAAAAAGCAGACAAGAACCTTTCTTCTCATCTCAATACTGAACAGTCTTTAAATATGGGAGAAACAACACAACAATCCCTCACGGAGGTATGATTTTGATTGCTAATGGCATCATTTTACTGCTTCTCCAATGGTCCCCCTCATCATTATATGTATGCTTGATTATTTTAATTTTGTCGCAATGGTCGGAAAATTCTATCCTTTTTATGAGAAAAACAGAGTTTGAGTATCATATTTAAAATGCTGAAAATACACCTGCGCGCGGGTACAAACAAGTGTGGTGTATTCCAACTGCTTAATGAATTTGACATGAACTGGAAAAAAAGAAAAAAAACTTAATAGTTTTGGACAGGGCATTGAAGAAACAATATATAATTCCATTGTGATAAGCATGCTATTTTTAAAAACACCAAAGAGACATCATCATCATTTGATTGATTTTTTGTTACATCATTTGATTCTAATTTTATGAGGTAGCAAACCTTTAAGAATTTATTTTAATTTTATTAAGGAGTGGGTTGGAAATCTGAAATAAAAAAATAATAAATAACAATTTTTTTTTACAAAGGAAATGAATAAAGTTACGGTTAAACCTTATTTAGGTTCACTAATTAAAGATGTTTAGCCATTTGAGAACCACTTATGATCTCTTAGAATCCCAGAAAGGCCAACAATTAAAATTTTTTTCCCCAAAACACTCTAGGTTCTATCACTAATGCTTTCCTATTATTGGGATAAGATTTTCTAAAATATTTAAAAATTTATAACTAATGCAATATAGCTCCAAAAATTGTGGTTCATAGCTTTAACTTTAGCTCTTGAAAAAGCTTTATGCTCTAACTAATTCTTAGCTCCCCCTACCCCCCAAAAAAAGAAGTACTGTACTACATTTAAAACTATTGGAGCCTTTAAATTAATCAATGTTCATTTTTATCTGCCTTAAGCATGCAGGCTGAACAGGGCGGCTTTACAAATTTAATTTGTGTCTAATATTCACCAAACTTAGGCTAGAGACTTGCTACTACACCAAGGTCTCTGCTAAGCTCATTATCATATTCGAATTTAACCCAAACTTAACTTCCTCTTACAAAAAATATGCTATCCAAAACAGGGCCTTTAGACATGCCTTTGGTGTAGTTTGGGAATTTAAAACACTTGTTGCATGTTATAACATATCAAAACTACATTTAAACCTCTTTGAGTCACAACTTTGAGTCCAAACAGGGGATAAGAACTATAGTTCAGAAGGCTAATGCTTTGATATTCCTATTGCCCATCTAATCACTATGTGGGAGTCACCAGACCCTTTACCTGTGCAGTTCATGATCATTCGCTTTAAAAGTTTTGGACAGCCTTCCCTTTACATTTTAAAATTTTCCAGATTCACAAACTCCTCTTTTAAATACATTGAGGGGTTTAGCCTTTATATTCAACCAAACCTAATTCTCTCTAGGCCAATTACTTTGACAGAGCAAAGGAAGAGGATAAAACTTGGTTTAACCACTTCACTTCATCCATATTTCACCTCGAAGCCTCTAGGTATTTACGGTATTTTAGTTCCCAATTAAATATAAATTTAACACATAATTCAACATTAAATTTGTGGGAAAAATTCAGCTTCTGAATTCTAGATTTCAGCTCCCATAAGAGAAGTCAAATAATAATAGTAACCCCACAAGATTTAATCTATCGTTTAAGTATGATTTCTATAGCTTAATGCTCCTATCGCTCACTTTACTGTCTAGAAAACAGATTTAAACCTCTCGTCTACTTGCAAAACAAACAGCCACTGCAAAAAATATTGATGGAACAAGGTTTAAGGTCCTTACCTCGTTCTAAATGTTCGGTTGCATGCGAGGGAAGAACTTTCCTTCTTCTTCGATCACTTCTTCGCCTCCCCTCAGCTCTCTCTCTCTCTCTCTCTCTCTCTGTGATGCTCTTCTTTTTTAAAGATTATGAAGATTAGTCCGCGACGCATTATGAAGATTTTTCTTAATTAGCTTCTCTAACTCCTAAAATAAGTTTTGTAAAATTTTCAGGCTGAACATTAGCCTCCAACTATTTTTAATTCAATTTTCAGAAAAATAGGCCCTCATATCCCATAAATTAGTTTTAAAATTATAAGTCATTTCTGGAAAATATAAACCTCTTCATAATATTTCTAAATTCTCAAAATAGAACAATTTTAATAATTACTTTTTTATTTCCTTAAATTCTCATACAAAATAGACTTTTTGACCAATAATTCATTTTTGGGACATTTAAATTTTAAATAATGTCCCTAAACCTCAATTATGCTTTCAAAATCTCTTCTCTACTTCTTGAGACTCCTCTAAAATTTTGGGCCTTTTTTACAATCATAATTTTGTTCTATATTTTCTCTTATTTAATCTTTTGCCCCTCAGCCCACTATATTTTTCAACTTTTAGGTCAACTATCTTATTTAACCCATATTCAAAATTCAAATATTACAATTACTACTAAATATTTTAGCTAATTCATTAATTCTCACTACAAAAAAATTGACTTTCAGCGGCGACAAAAGTCGCCGCTGAAAGTACAAAGTCGCCGCCGAAAGTTTTTTGCGGCGACAAGTCGCCGCTGAAAAGTCGTTGCCGTAGCAGCTGTGGCTGAAAACTTTCAGTGGCGACTAAAAAGGTCGCCGCTAAAAGATACTTTCAGCGGCGACTTTTAGAAGTTTCAGCGGCGACTAATGTCACCGCCGAAAACACTTTCAGCGGCGAAATTTGTCGCCGCCAAAAAGTCTTTCAGCGGCGACAAAAAAGTCGCCGCAGAAAACACTTTCGGCGACGACACTCTTGTCGCCGCTGAAAGACTTTTTGGCGGCGACAAATGTCGCCGCCGAAAGTGTTTTCTGCGGTGACTTTTTTGTCGCCGCTGAAAGTAATGCCTAAGAAGAATTGGCTTTACCAATGCCACGTCATCGCCGTCGGTGCCACGTCATCATCTCCGGCCGCCACGTCATCACCGTCGACCTCCACGTCATCGCCATCGGCGGCCACATCATCACCGCCGACCGCCACATCATCACTAGCCACCTCCACGTCATTGCCACATCACTCTTCCTCGCCACGTCATCGTCCAAATATTTTCACCTTAAATGTGTCTTCTTCCAGGTTCGAACTCATGACCGCCTCCTTTCGTGTCCAATCTTCTTGCCGCTGAGTCAGATTGAATTTGTTTATTAATATTGTAAAATAAAATATATAGTATTATATTATACTTTCAGCGGCGACAAAAAAAGTCGCCGCTGAAGGTCCACTTTCGGCGGCGACTAAAAAAGTCGCCGCTGAAAGTCCACTTTCGGCGGCGACAAAAAAAAGTCACCGCTGAAAGTCTTGGTTTCAATGGCGAACTTTCAGCGGCGACTAAAAAAGTCGCCGCTGAAGGTCCACTTTCGGCGGCGACAAAAAAAGTCACCGCTGAAGGTCCCCTTTCGGCGGCGACAAAAAAAGTCGCCGCTGAAGGTCCCCTTTCGGCGGCGACAAAAAAAGTCGCCGCTAAAAGTCTTGGTTTCAATGGCGAACTTTCAGCGGCGACTAAAAAAGTCGCCGCTGAAGGTCCACTTTCGGCGGCGACAAAAAAAGTCGCCGCTGAAGGTCCACTTTCGGCGGCGACACTTTTGTCGCCGCTGAAAGTCTTGGTTTCAATGGCGAACTTTCAGCGGCGACTAAAAATGTCGCCGCTGAAAGTCTTAGTTTCAGCGGCGACTTTTTGGTGTCGCCGTCGAAAGTGGACCTTCAGCGGCGACTTTTTTTGTCGCCGCCGAAAGTCGTCGCCTAAAGTCTGTTTTTTTGTAGTGTCTTTTTCATGCAGAATGATTAGAATTGATTTAAGAAAGGTATCACTAAAACTAACATTAATTTTTTTATTTATAAATTTTTATTCTTTATTTATGTCCATCACACAATAATTTTCTTTCTTTGCTTTAAAGTTGTCATATGAACTTCAACATATAATTTGAAGGGGATAAAATGGGAAAAAAAACTCAGATCAAGTATGTTAAGTTCTCCAATCATACATGACCATGTGTCTTTTATTGTTTCATGTGGATTTATAACTAAACGTTAATATTTTAAAAATAAGATACATAGTTATTGGTGATTGGAGAACTTGACACAATAGATATAAAGAATTTGATATGACTATTATCCTTTAAAATACCAACAAGAAACTCTTAATACACATAAATATGGTGTGTATGTGTGTGTGTTCCATATTTATTATTGAATTTGACTTGAACTAATAAGCAAAGTTTTATCTGTAGTGCTGGCTATGCAGAAACAATATTGATGTTGATGAGCATGATATCTTAAATGTGCCAAAAGAACATATCATCATCATCATCATTATTTTTGTTATGCTGAATAATGAAGAAGAAAGGAATCCTAGTGTTAATGAATTCAACGTTTGAAACTTTTTTTTTATTCTTCTGCTATATATGAAGCAACAAAGAATACTATTGAAGAAGGTCCTAGACCAAAGTTGCAAAAAACAAAATTTTTAAAACCTATTTGTTAGCCAATCTCTTTAAAGCTTAGTTTTATATATTGTGGTGTTGGTCTGGGTGCAAAGAAAACAGCTACACTAATTTATCATCTTTGTTTTATATGACCACTGGTTTCCAATAGAAGGTGCCAGTTCATGCAAGTCCCAACCTCACTATTCTTCCTATAAGAGATAACACTCACGCAAGTGCTAAAATATTTGAAGAGGAAGATGAAGAGGAAGAGGAAGGTAAAATATTGATTTGTTAGTTTTGTATTAGAAAAATACTAGTTATTTATTTTATGGGTTTACAGACAGCTTGATAACATCCCGACGTCCCCGAAATGGAAAGAAAGTTAGCAGTTCTTTACCAGAGAAAAAGCTTGAAAACTCTACTGATGGTACTTGCTATTTTCTTTAATTAAATGAAATCTTTAATTAATTTCTTCCTATGATTTGATATAATAATCATTTTTTCATAGGTGACCCACGTGTGCCCCCAGAAACAACCGTTTCGAGTGAACAAACGTCAACAAGCCTTAACCAAACTCCTTCATCTAATATTCCCAAGCATTCTGATGGTAAGTTTCCTTGCTGTCTTCTTATATTGACACTTCATTCAATCATTGTAGTGTCAAACTTGCCAAAACTATATATCGAGACTACCTTATCAAGCAAAGACAGATGTTGCTATAAGAAGTACCATTGAACTTATAGAAGATTCTAGTCTATGCTCTAGTAATTCTACCCATTGCACGTCTGATCTTTATTTTATTCAATTATTATTTTTAATTTCCATTCTAACATCACTTCATTAATCTAAGGGATATATCTAAAATGTTGAGACTACTAACTAGTGAACTCCAATAATTTAGATTATGTTGAAGTTTGTGATAAGTCTCATCCACATTCAAGCTCTTCATTTGAATGTGTTGACGGCGGGAAAAACAAGGAAGCAGGTATGGTTCAAAATGAATCTATCTCGAATGTTGAAATAAGTAACCCAGCACAAAGGGAACAAGAGTCGTCACATTCTAAAGGTTATTAACCTATTTCCTCTATTGTTGAACATATAAAACATAAGTGAACTTGAATCTTCTTTCCTGTGATCCATGTGAGTACTTCTCATTCTGCACAGTTGATTTCATTATCTTCATTTTCTAATGCGATGGTCTTTTTCTGGGCCAAATTCAAACAATATATCAATTGACAGATTCACAACCAACAAGAGCAATGCCAGCAACACTTTTTGTTGATATTTCCAAAGAAGAATCCTCGAAGGTAATACTATTGCTATTTCTTCATACATAAAGATTATAGGTTTTGCTTTATATTTCTATCTAGCTAGTTCTACTACTATTAGATAAGATTCATGTATTGTCATGCCCTATTATGATAAGTACTGAGCAACTATCATAAAAGCGTTTTTCACATTTACATAGATTGAAACTCAAGATTTTGTATTTAAGAGACCTTAGTTTCTTCGACTAAGATCAACATCTGTTGGCATAAGATATAAAAATTTATTCTAGATAAAGTGGAGTTATCCCACTTTCTCATGCACAGCTAAAATGCATTCTCATTCTGTCCACAAGGAAACTAAATTTGACATACAATCTAAGCAAACAAAAACAACTCAAAAGTTCATTGAGGATTATATTTATGATGGTTTATCGCCTCAGAAGAAAGCAACTTAAATATCTGTGTGATATACAGATTGTTGGAGTAAGAGCTGAAGATGGTGCTTCAATATTAGAGACCCCACATCCAAGTTCGTTAACTTCTAAACAGGTTTGCTTCTTCCAACAATTTTACAATTTAATATATTTGTTATTCCTATATTAACAATTATGAATGGTTTATTGTACAAGGAACCTATTCCTGTGAGTCCCAATCCCACTATTCTCCCCAGAAGCCCAAGTACAACTACCAAAATTTTTGAAGAGGAAGAGAAAGGTAAGATGATAGTGTCCACAATTTCAAGATTTATAGCTCCTCTAGTTATTTATCCTGGGCAGTGAATTCTTTGCCAGTAGGAAAAGAGCACAAGACTTTTGATCATGGTTTTGTGGCTTTCTTAAAATGAAATATTTCTCGTTGTGATTTACTAAGTATATATTTATACACTTCATTGACTTGGTATAGGTGACCCCTTTGTGCCACCAGCGCCAATTATTTCAAGTGAGCAGCAAGCTAATGAGACAATAAGTCCTATGCCATCAAAAGCTCTAATGAGTCCTACGCAAACTCCCATGCACACTCCCTCTAAGACTTCTTATGGTGAGTTTTTTTGCTGTCTTATTTTACTAATTTACCTTTCACTTTATCATTTTGTAATTTTTGTGGCTTCATCCAGGAAGAAAGATCCAAGAGAATGTTGGAACCATTGACCATCGTTTGCATGAAAATTTGGGTGCTATTCAAATTTCTAGTAAGTCTTGTGTCCTTGCCATTACATGTTTGCATGTGTTATACTTGACTTGATTCCTTTTATTGAACGTGAGTATTTTGATTCTCTAACCTTGCTTTTATTTTAACTCACTTGCTGATTTGATGGTTTTGGTAGGTCAACTTACTGAATGTGGCTCATCACACATGGCTTCTTCTATTTATGATACCAATAATAATGTCTTAGGTGTTCATGGGATAAAAGAGATAGCTGATATGATGAAATTAGAAGGTGCTGAGCCTTTCATGCTAGCAGAAGCATTCCAGACTCATCCACAACTTCATCTTTCTTCAGAGGATCGAAGCACTGAGTTGTTATGCTATTCCTATAGGGTGCTACTAAATATTTTGAACATTCTGGCCACTAGGAGCCCCTCCACAATCACTAAGGCGGACAAGATATTGTTGGCAAAGCATTTAAAGGATGCTTCTGTTCTGGGATTTGACAAGGACTGGCTTGAGTCAGTTAGGAACAGGGTTTCCACTTGTGATGCATTAGAAATCAATCGCATGCAACAAGCTTTAAAGGGTTTAGGCAATAGGCTCCAAGCCAATAAGATAGAGCTTGCAAATATTCGAGACCAGGAGGCGAAAGCAGCAAAATTGGTAGAAATGACTCAGAGAGAGTTGGAGGCCACACATAAAGAATTAGAGGCAGCATATAAAGGGTTGGAAGCAGCTCAATCCCATCTTAATGTCGCACAACAAGAACATGCAAACATTAGAGCACGTTATTCTCAGCTCTTAGAAGAATGCCAGGGAATTTCAGAACAACAGTACCAATGTTCAGAAATTATTGCTGCCAAATTCAGGCCTTTCGGCTTCTAACATGGATGCCATGTGAAACTTTGTTATTGCCGTTTCAATTAAGGTCATTGTCGTACCTTTATTTCAAATAAAAAATAAAAGTAATACTCTCATGGACATTGTAATATTACCGTACCTTTATTTTGCACAAGGATCGCGCATGACATTACAGACTTGTTGTACCTAAGGGTTATTTTCCTTGTTAAGATCTTATATATCTGTGTTTGGTTTCCAGATGTGCTTATCTTCACCCATTTGCTACTAGTTAAATTGAATATAGTGCATCAACTACATATATGATTAGGCATAATTAAGTACTTTTCTCGACACTGACACATAATATGTTAACATCAGTGTCATGTATAATTGTCAAAGGGATGCTGCATCTCATTGTTTAAATTTTGGCTCTACACATTTTCTAATTGCATGTTTGAATTTTTAACTCCAGACCTCTAACTGAATCTCATCCAACTTATCATTCAAGCTATCCTCAAGTGACAAAAAATTACCCAACTTATTCATGAATTTTGTTTGCAATTTTGACTTCAATAACATTTTAAACTGATTTATTTTAGAATTATCAAGGACATTTATTATAGATTTAAAGTTTATTCCGCAAATGTTATCATTTAAATTTTATTCTTAACCTAACAATTAGTTAGATATAAGACTAGCAAGAATATAAGACCCCATTTGATTTTTATTTTGATCTTAAATATAAGACTCAAATCCACTTTGTCTCTCATATTTATATATTTTTTTTCAAAGTATTTGTCTCTCATATTTATATATATTTTTTCAAAGTATTTGTCTCTCATATTTATATATATTTTTTAAAGTAGCCTTTCTAATAATGATAGTTCTAATCAATACACTTGACTAGCAAGAATATTTTAAGAAAGACAACACCTATTTAGGATAAATAACTAACTCAACTTACTTCTTTAATCTCCTTAAATTAATCAACTAGCTCTTATAATTAGGACCGGAAGTAGTAGTATTTTTTATGTCAATATCTCTCGCTATACGTTAATCAGTTTGCACATGATTTGTCTTCAATTTATTTTACTGTCCTAAAATATTTTGGCAGATATTAAGCAACATAATAAAGTTTAAAATTTTTTAAACAAATTTTAAGTAAATAAAAAGTTTTTAATCACTTTCTCTTAATCAAGAAATCACCACATCAACTAAATAATTTACAACTTTTCATTGGCAAGCCAATGGCTTGAAATTTCAATTTAATGGGTAACGAGTTTTGCATTAAATTGAAAGCATATTTGGTTTTACCTTAATATCTATCAAAACTATATAATAATTCTGTTTTTGGGTAAAATTAGCTCCTCATTGATTTTTCCTACTTGCACAAAATTATTAGTTTCTGATCCATGAAATATTCAAGCGCAAGGATTAAGAAAGCAAGATGTTAAGCATAGAAACGACATACATAATATTATACAAGACCAGGCCAATCATGAAAACAAGATGACAACTCCGTGGGCGAATGATTAACAAGAGAAGAAAGGAAGGAAGAAAATGATAATAATAATAGATTACTTAATCAAAGACTACTCTCGGGTGAGATTCAGCAATCTCTTGAACATACCCCCCCCCCCCAAAAAAAAAGCTCTATTCTGACCAAAACTTCACGAAAGCATCTACAAAAGCTCTGAAAATGGCAAAAATTGGATTTGTTTCTTGTCTCATCGAATGTTGAGGCGTCCCATCCCATGACTCTGCAGAGAAAGCATATGGAAGTTAAGTTAGCCAAGGCAAAAGAACCTAAGCAGCAATAGCTCAAATCTAAATGACATGGCATTTGAGATCAATAGGGTACATTTGAGATGCATATATGATACTCCTCCGGTTCTTAATATAGGACCTAATTCTTGAGTTGGTTTTGGCCCTAAATATAAGACCCATTTCTCATATTTATCAATTTTCTCTAAATTACTCCTATAGATACTCCCTCAACCATAATTAAGTAGAAGAGGGAGAAGGGGTATTAAGAAAGATGATTATGGTGTTTTAGGAAAAACGTGTCATTTTTCCTATAATTAACTATTTAGGAAAAACGTGTCATTTTTCCTATAATTAACTAACTTACCTAACTTCTTTAATCTAATCAAATTAGTTAAATGGGTCTTATATTAAGGACTGAGGGAGTATATACTTATAGATTGATTCTTTCTAAAGTTGGGTTGCTTTCCTGGGAGTTGCCACCAAGCTGACCATTAACTCTAAGCACAGTCATGTTCTCCTGGGTTTCTTCTTTAGTATTTGACTCCTTAGCAGAGGTGCGAGTGCGAGTCTTGGCATGAGAGCCATCTGGAAATTTTGTCTGACAATGAATTTATCTATCAAAGAATTTATACCACATGAACCTAAAAAAAAAAAAAAGGGGCATCTGCGTGGCTCCCAGAACAGCTGGTGAAAAATGGCATTGTTTTGATT